CTCTTTCCTACTTATCTACATTAATCGGTCCCCAAGCCTACTAAAATCTAAAAGTTTCACCCAGTATAGATATACATTATTTTCCAACTAAAAAAGATTTTTTAAACCATGAATGTCTTGACAGTCATGCAAACAAAGCCCTAGAATGACTGCATCTAGTATACAAGTGACTTTACAATTACAGATTTGGAAGCTGAAGATCATTATCTGCTTCAGAACAATAACCACAGAAGTAAATCTATAGTGAATATGTTCTTACTCAAATCATTAACTTTTTCCAGTAAATACTTCCTGTATTAAAATGAAAGTTTCTATAGTCTTTGATTAAAGCTACTATAATGTAATTAATGGTTGACAACAAAGTAATAGTAAATGTTCATGTGTCGATTCCCAAATCAGAGATGCATTTGTATACAAAGCTTCTCTTTTTAAAATCTAAATACGTAACACGTAAGCTCATGAGACATTGAAATCTGAATTCAAATTTGAACATAGACAATCTGACTTTTCTGGTGGTAACAAAGTTAATGGTAGCTTTGATTGTCAGGGAAATGGAAGATAACTATTAATTAACGGGCAGAGAAGCTGCTAACAGAGGACTCTTAAGAATTGAGATAAGAGCACAAAGAGAACAGAAAGGACTTGTTAAGTTTTACTCCTGAGCTCTGCTGAAGACAGCTTCTAGCTTAGTCTTTTCACAAATCTGTTAACTCTGAAATAATGTCAGTGCTGCAACTCCAAAGTGGGACACAATGTAAAATAAGTTCATCCTGAGATCTTACACAAGAAAGTGCTAGTCTTATCCATGTAGCTTTTTTATAAAGAAGGAACTACCAGTGTCCCATTAGTGTGTCCTCCAACAAACAAATGACATTTCGTAGTATTTTAGAAAGTAGTCCCTTATCACTAGGTAACCTAATTATCTTCCCATGTATTACAAAGTAATTATACATGACCCTAAAAAAGTTCACTTAAACTTTTCCCTTAGTCATCCTACAAAATACAAAGAACTTTATTTAAATGAAAAAAAAAAAACAACAGCCATTGAAGAAGTCTGCTTAATATCCCAGTGACTGTGAACTACACTGTAATATTATTTCATTTATCATAATTGCAATGATCATTATTTTTTACCTGTTATCTTTCCCTGGATACATCTGAGTATATTCAACTCTGTATTTTTTGGCAAAAAGCATGAAGGCATTCATTGGTCTTTTGCACTTGTTAGGAGAAGTGGCACTCACAGTCCCTGAGCTGTGGTTTTTGACAGCTTTAGCATACAAAGAATTGGAAGAGAGCTGTGATGACCCAGGGGAGCCACAGTTTTTACTGAATCCAGATCTTGCAAAGTCTTGGCCTCCTGGTCCTCCGCAAGACAAAGATGCACGACGCTGCCGAGCCATACTGCTGAGCACATAGACTGCAGAAGAGTCCATAGGCGTGAAGTCGTAGCTAGGAACAAAAATGGTTTTAATTTAGATTATCTGATTTGCAAAAGCAGAATTTTAAAAACCCATTAACATCTAATTGGAAATTTCTATGTATTTCCTGTGACCGACAATACTTTAACAACTTCACCAGTGACTACTGTTTATAAGATGTGTATACTGAATAAACTTTTTTAAAACTGCAGAGAATAAAAAACTTTTTAAAAGACCTTAAAGCCCTCCAAGGAATCTATTATAATCCACAAACTTTATTTAAACAGCAAGTAACTTGTTTAGGGAAGACCCCGTCTTGGTTGCTATACTGTTTATGTATGCATGGAAATAAACACATTATCTCTTCCAATCAAGTCTGCTTAGCAGGGTATTAGCCTCTTTTTTATACAAGAAAGAGAAAATATTATTCTCCCAAGGCCTCATAATCACTAGCTCCAAACTCAAGTCTGTATGTCTATCTCTGGATGGCCAGGTTTCCTTACCAATCCCACGATCCTCTGCACTGCCATTCAAATCTCAAGGTGAACAATAACCAGACTGGCTGAAATTAGAGCTGCTAATATAGACCACAGCCTAATGATAAACATGTCAAAAAAACTTTATCCCAACTATCAATTCCTTCTGCTCTTAATCTTGGCAGAAACTTTATTATTTAGCTTCTAAACATAGCTCCTAGTTTCCTCCCTGGAAATAAAAACTCTGGTAATAGTCAACCTGTGTTGATAGTAGCTATAGGAATAGCAGAGTATCTGACTAAAGGTAATGCATGTGAGTAGGAATTAATAAGGCTTATCAAGGGCGTTAATAAATGAGTTTGAGCCACCCTACTCACTGTACACAGTAAAAATAACTTATGCTAAGTATCAGCAATACAACTTCTCTTTATTCATGAAAAAAGTACCTTAAAGTATAAGTCTAAAATCTAATGAGTGTTTAGAGCTATCTGTTCTATGTCACAGAAACAACTTTGTACTTAAGTTCCTCCCAAATATAATTCTGAAAACAATTATAAGCATTGTAAATTAATCTGGTAAAATTATTAATCTCTAAAATATCTCTAAATTTAAGCTCTAAATTTAATTACAATTTAAGATTTTAAAATACGGTAAGACAAGATGGTCAAACCTTCAAGACATAGTAAATGAGATAAGGCAGAGAAAAACAAATATTGTGTATCACTCGGGTGGAATCTATGAAAGCCAAACTCCTAAAAACAGATAGTAGAATGGGTGTGGGAGGTAGGGGAATGGACAGATATTTAAAAGTACAAACGTAAGTCCCGGTGACCTAATGCATATTACAGTGAAAACAGGCAATACTGTACTATAATCACCAAACTTGTTGATATACTAGAAATTATTCCGAACAGTAAAAAGGATAATAATATGACAGTGATATAAATTAAGAGTGGCAATCACGTTACAATATATAGACATATTAACTTGTTCACCTTGTTGTAATAGTCAAATAATTTCAGTCTTTTTTATTTTAAATAAATATATATGGTAAAATGAATTGCTTAACTGTGAAAATCCCACCATCTAGTGGCACAAATACAACCATCACCTGTTTTCATTATAGATACAATTTAAAGCAGTCTGAATTAACTCATCAAAATTCAAAATTTTGAGAATAGTACACAGAATATCCAAAGGGAAAAAAAATCTTTTGTTATACTCCTTCAGCATTTCTTTACTCTAATTCCTGCAAGGTGTTTGTTTCACATTTCTCTTCTGTACACACACCCTTCCTTACACTTGAGAATATGCTTTCCCATCTAGGTCTATTAACCATGTCATAAATATTAACTCATTTAATCCCACCTTCAATATTCATTCTCGTTTTACAGATTTTTGTTTTGTAAGGATCACTTAACCTAACCCAGATTCCTCAGCAAACCTACTACGGATTAGAATCCAGGCATGAATCCAGCTCATGTTCCTATCAGGCTACTGTCTCTTAGTTAGCCCATGACTGCTCAGCATCCAGCAACTAATTCACTTCTTTCTCTAGACTAGAATCAAGAGGCATGCCACAAGTTAACTTTTTTTAAATCTCCAAAAGAGTCTCTCAAATATTAGGTGAGAGGGTAAAGTGAGGGCAGACAGTTTATTTAATTTGCCCATATTAGTAGTAAGTGGCAGGACCCAATTAAAAATTTTACATTTATATTCTAAATAATTATTTTTATCTCATTTTCCTAGTTTTCCAAAAAGTGTGTATGACAGATATAATCAAACAATATTCAGATTCCAATCTTATAGATGTTTATTGAGCATATGGCCTGTGCTAGTGTCTTTTTCATAATAATCCTCACTGAACCTTTTGATTATATATATTAGCCTTAAATTTTATTAAATTGAGTGAAATAAAGTCTATAGAACACCAGAAACTCTTGAAATTTTTCTACTTCAACACCTATGAAATTGATAATTATCTTATAGAATTATATCTACATACAGACTTTTTATGGGTGCCTTCTAGGGAAATATCCTGTATCCCAGTGTACCCATGAATAGGGATTTTCCTGAGATGCAAGACAGCAGTGTGAAAGTCAGAGAAGTTTCATACAATTTGCGAGAGTTAGTCAACCTTCTTTAATGCCAAGACACATGGGTTCCTGTCCAATTCTACTGCTTACTAGCAAGGTGATCTCAAGTAAAATCGTTTCCATCAGAATTATTTCCAAATGTTGAGTTTTACTATTTGTTAAATCATGCAGTTCTTGCCCTTGGACAAAATGAGTGTTTGAGAAACAAATACACAGTTGAATAAAGGGGAAAAAATCCTCACTACCAAAAAACAAAAACAAAAAAACCTATTAAGAGAATTATAAACTGGTGAAAAACAAATGGCCAGATAAAGCAATTTATTTTTATATTAACTGTCAGTTTAAGCCATTTAACTCCTAGTTATATACACACAGTATTTTCTCTTAATCCTAAACGTTTTACAAACTCACTTTCCCATATAACTACTCTATGTAAAGCTCCCATGGCAATTATTTTACTTCAAGCACCTAATTTTTTTCATTTAATCATATATCTGCTTCCTTATAAGTAGTTCTTGTTATTCTGGTCTTTAAAGATTTAACTTCCTAAGTATTGATTTAGTAATAAGTACGGAGGTTAAATCACTAGGAAGAAAACTTTAAAAAATAAAGAATTATTATTACCTTTTAAATGTATCAAAAACACCTGAATCATCAAAGTTAATGGCATCGGGGTGTCCAGGAGGTAGACATACATCACCAATATGAATTTCACAACACGGAATGCCATGCTGTACCACAGTCAAGCTTGGATAAAATGATGACCAACCTAAAGTTAAATCAGACAATGGTTGCATAAAGAATGGGGATTGACAGAAAGCTCCCTAATTTATTTAAAAACAGACATAGTTCTGAGTCTTACAAAGTTATTGCTTAAGTCCTAAGTGATTTTTCTAAGACAATTCATGTATCTTTCCCATAAAGTAAGAATAAGTATTTTCTTTAATACTTTTTAAAGCCTTTTGCAAAAGCCTACTAAAACTAATTTAAATTAACACCTTATTAATATGAATATCTATCAATCAGCAAATTCTATCCATCTATATAAGCAACCAAGTGATGATTGAGAAGGCGAAATGATTTGTAATTACTATATTTAACATGGTATTACCATAATAACCCTCTGAAAATATATACCATATTGAGTAATCCTAAGCCAAAATGAAACCAACAGAATGGTCCATTTCCCAAAGTACATAGCAAGATAACAGCTTATTACAGTATGCTACAAGAATCCAAAGTTCTCACACCTATAGCACTCCAACTGACTACTGCTAAGATACTTAAGCATCATTAGTTATTACCAAACGGCCACTTACTAAGGTGGTCCTATCAATTTGAAAGAAATTTTCCCTTCAATTTTTAGAAATGCACCACAAGACATAATTATAGATATAAGAAGTTTCTTTAAAAAGTTACTAAATTCAAGTCAAGCCCTACCTTTATTTTTAACATAAAAAGGGTGGTCCAGCTTACACTCTACAGTAAGTAACCCATCTTCTACTGTACCAGGATCAAAAGTCAACTTCAGTACAGACTCGCCAAATGATACACTTTCTTCATGTGATAACAACTTTAGACCATCAGAACCATATCCCTGAAAATACAGGTAGAGTGAATGAATTGTTCAGCACATAGTGAAGTTCCTAATACATGTAAGATTGTGTAGAAAAGCTTAAATTAAAGACAGGATCCTTGTGTTAACGGAACTTTTGACGCGGTAGTTAAAAAAAAAAGTCACATATACTCACTACAATATAAGGCAGACGTTAGTTCAAGTAATGCTAATGGAGTTTAATAATGGGAGATAGTAACTCCAAAAAAGATAGATAATTCCCATTTGAAATGGAATTTAAAAGAGGAATGAAATTGAGAAAGGTAAAAAGAACAGGCTTTACACCAGGAATAATTGTAATTAACTTCTTTAGCATCTAGTGCAGAATTTGCTACAGATATGCAATGAGTTCACAATTAGGATAAGGCAGGCTAAAATATAAGGAGGGGCCCATTACAGAGTAAATGGACCCTTTTAAAGTCAGCCAAAGTGCTTAAAATTTCTTTGCAGAGGGTACTAGTCTATTGATAAAAATATTTTTATTGCTATGGTTATCAATTTTAAGATAATTATAAAGACTACAAAATGTAAGATACCTCTATACTTCAATTTATCTGAAGATACAATGAGAGAAACCCACTGGGTCTTGAAATGGTGAAAGAAGCAGGCTAAGTGTGAATTCAGTATTTATTGAACATGCCAGATACTAAGTTCTGAAAATTAAACATTAACAACATGTGATCTCTACCTTTAAATTTACCAAAAACAAAGGAGACAGACATCTAGCTGCATTATTTATTATACTAGTGTGTGAATAAAACAATGAAAAATCTTTAGAAGAAAGGGAATAGTGAATTTCTTGGCTTTGAATATGGCAATTAAGGAGGATAATAATGCCATTAAGAGTAAAAAAAAAAAAAAAAAAGCCAAGAAGGGGAAGAAAAAGAGATGAGTTCAATCTTGATGGCACTAGAAAGCTGAGTTTGCAGAACTGATAGATATATTTATACACAGATGTCTAGCATGTAGCTGGAAACTATGGCATTGGGGACATACTCATAAATAAAAGAATTAAGAGAATCTTCCAATTCTCAGAGCTACAAGTCTGAATCCAGTCAAGTTTTATAACTGAGAAGCCAACACCTAGTTGGGCTAATAATGTGCACAAGGTCAGTCATACAATAGTTGCTGGAAGAGCGAGAAAGACCACAGGTTTCCTGACTCCGAAGACTACAGTGATTTCCAGAGGCACCAAGGAGGGGCTGCTGACATTCTCAGCAGAGTGGACTGTTGAAGAGTCAAGAGCAGCAGAATGCCATTCAGAAAGGCTGAGGGAGACATTAGAAAGACTCGGGGTACTGCCATGTCACACAAATCAAGAGAAGACAATGTCAACTAAGTCAGTCACATATTACAGAGAGCAAGCAGAAATCTCTTTAGAAATCTGAATAAGGCCAGTAGTAACCTTTGAGACAACTTATTAAAAAAGTAATGGCCACAGTGAGACTGGTGAACTTTAGTGTAATGAAGAGTGTCAGCAGGAAGGGGAAAGAGAAGGCAGCCAAGTCAGAACTATAGCAGAGAACAGCAGGATTGAGAAGAATTTTAAGCAAGTTCAATTCACAAGCCCAATTTCTCGCCTACAGTGAGGTGAAGTATTAAGTATTAAGTATTTCAAAGATACAGGTTGTCAAATGATATTCATCCTAGTGCTGCCAAGTACTGGTTTCACTCAACGACTAAAATGCTGATTTTATGAAGTATTTGAAAAGCAACAATATAATAAATAGGGGATTTACTTTATAGATGTCCTAAGATAAGGCTGCTTTGGTATGTTTCTTTATTGTTCTACTGATGCAAAATGCTAGCTTAGTTTTTCCCAACATAAAGAAATGTGTATGAAAAGAAATACATACTTTCTCATTTAAGAAAGTCCAGTCACTATTCCTTTTGTCACGCTAAGCCACGAGTAGACATAAAACCTAACATCTAAGATGTCATGTAAATATGACAGTAACTAGAGAATATGCAGGTGAACAATAAACCTTAAATTTTGAAAGATTTAAAAAGTTTTTTGAACTTTAAATCAACCTTATGAGTGCCCATCTGGAGATCTTCCTCATGATCGCAGCCTTCAGATCTAGCAAAATCTTCAACATCCTGCCATTCCTTATTGCTTCCCTTATGAAAGCATAGTCGCGTGCCTAAAGTTTAAGTAAAAATCAAGTATTAGGTATGGATCAGGTGTGCTACACAAATATGCTTCAAAAAGTTCAAGGACAGCTGTACCTTTCAAAAAACAGTGCCAAGCAGTTGAAGGCCAGGAATTGCACCACCCCAAATCATCATCATCTGAGAGGGAGGACATGCAGAAAATGCCAGATTCTGACTCACTATTTGCCTACGGAGGAAAATATACTTGACTTTTTAGACATTTAAACATTTTAAAAATCACAAGGCTTATTAGTGGATAACTTAATCATTATTAATGTTCTAAAACTGATATTTTTAGAAGTTTAAATTAGACATATGTTCCCACTGGTAAAAGACTTTCCCATTAAATAGAGCTATATACAGGAGTATAATGGACCAGGCGAGAAAATAACAAAAATAATGAACAACCATATACCACAGACATTTTGTGGGGGTGGAGTGGGGAATGGGATCAAAACGGGGGGGGAAGGGGAGGGAAATGCACGGGACTATGGTGGTGGCACAGGGGTGATTTGGTGATGGGAAACCTGCGGGGATTACAATCGAGATGGAAAAAAAAATGTGCAAAATGATGTAAAAATAAACTTTGTAATAAAAAAAAAACTGTCAAATCCCCAGCATATTAACTGTCAAAAACCTCAAAAAAAAAAAAAGAGCTATATACCTAAACTCTAATCCAGATCACTAGCAGAACAATGAGACACACTATTTCTCATCTCTATGTGCTTCAAAAGAATTCTTACAAAGGTAAAGTTAATACATTTCAACTATTGCGCAAACGTCACGAAAGTGTAATCTCATGAATAATCTTACCCTTTCATGTCTGACTGGTGCTTCCTCCTTCCAGTGATGAGGGAAGGCGGGCTCACTCTTAGAAGAGGACGAGACTGGTGGAGGGCGTGCATAGGAATGTAAACTTTTGCTAGTAGCTATGATGTGTACAGGAGATGATCTAAAATAAAGTAGTAGTTTTAATCAGAAGTGTGGGTTTTTAAAATAAAGCTTTCGTTTGATTACAAGATTTTTCACTCAGAATGCTCATCATGTCATTACATCATAATATATGATATTCCTACTTCTTTAAAACTGATTTTTAGCTGAAATAACACCGCAGTATCCTCATCAGGCGTTACAACCACAGTCCATCTACCACCAACTCACCCATACTTTACCGCCACAGTACCTCCCTCTCTCCCTGTTTTTCCCCCTCCGCAGCCCTTCTTCGCTTGGTGTCTCAGTTCTGTGGTCAGCAATCAAGGGTTAGCTTTTCAGCTTGTCTTTATCTGACAATTTACTTTATATCCCATTACAAGTTATTTCTTAATTTCTCCCACATTTTGAATACTATTTTTAGATTCCACAATGTATTTTAAATTCCAAATTACTGTTTCAACTGTTTCATTCATGAAACAGTATATATATACTTTTACTGATGAAGGATAACACGTTTCTTCTACTCTGATGTACTTAAAGTCAGTTTCAATATTAACAGGATAATAAGTTTAATAGGACCAACACAGGCCTCTCTAACAAGCACCTATCACTGGGCAGAGAGAAGAACTACCTTAAGTACTTAAACTTATAGCAAAAAGTACCCTATTTGCCACTTCTTGTAACTGAACTATCTGTTGTTTTCTATTATAAACTTATTGAAAAGGATCTACATAGAAGGGCCAATTTATTTCCCCCAGGGTCACTTCACGCACTTTTCCGCTCAAAAGTCTCTTTACCAGGCAACACTCTCTTTAGAACCCATGGAGCTCCCAAGAACATACTGAGATCCTTCCCCCACGAACAGATCAATTATTCAGAGGAGGGAAAATAGTAAGAAGCAAGCTGATAAATAGTGGCCAGTAATTTGAATTGAATGGTGTTTGGAAAGAAGCAGAGATAAAAGACTTCAGGGGTCAGGGGGTAAATTTGTTTGAGAGTCTCAACTCAGGACAAATTTCTGAGATGCCAAATAGGGGTGTCACCCTTAACAGAAAAAAAGGTTTTTTTCTACACTAATTCTCTGCTCAAAGAGAAGGGATAGCTTACTTTCTAATTACCTAAAAAATTTTACTAGCCCTCATTTTTATTTTAGCCTCACTGACACTTTTCATAGTAATATTTTTTAACCTGAAACTATACTTTGCTTTCATGTGTGTATCACCTCTTAAATAATAATCCATCAAATTTATGTCTTTTAGCATATTCTCAAATCAAGTTTGGATCTCAAAATACAACTGCTAAATGTTTCATCTTTCCCCAATTTCTTCCTTTAATTACAAATCTGGATCCTTATAAAGTATCAAGAGAATGGCCATGATGCTAAAAATTCCCCTAAAGTTCATCCATGACTTCAGGATTTATTGGTCTCTTCATTCCTCTCTCAACTCAGGGATAATATACATTTTTACCTGTCCTCCAAGCCTTGGTATCATCAGTTGTGACTTCAGACATCAAAAGCTCAATAACTAATATAATTTAACAATCTATAAGAGGTTGCAATGGTATTAGATAGTTACTATTAGTATTAGAAGTCAGGCAAGACAGCCAACAATGGACTATTGGTTTTGTTCCCTAGGAAGAAGGGAAGAATGGAGAAAATGCTGCAGAAAATAAATTTACATTTTAAGAGATACTCCTTTACTTATGTTTTTGTTTACATGGGTTCAGTTCTAATAACATGCTCAATGTTCCAAACGTTAACTGTTGTGACTTTCCTGTAAGACTGAAAGTATTACATCTAAAATAGACATTTTTTAATAAAGATTTATTTATTTATGCATTACAGAACTGGGGCCAGAGGTGCAGGGGTGGTGAGAGGATTCACCAGAGACAGTGGGGAGCAGAACAGGCAGATTAATTTAAGGACAATGCTGAGGGGAGCAGCGGGCTGGTCAGGAGAGGTTAGCCACGCCATGTGGATCACCACTGGGGCAGGTGGCTTAAGCGTCTTAGTGCTGTGCTTTAACCCACTGCGCCACCAGGGAAGGCCCGAAACTTTATTTTTACAACAGAAAGACCAACAGTAAAACTGAGTAGTGCTGGCCCTCCCTGGTGGCGCAGCGGGTTAAAGCCCTGCACAAAGAAGCTTAAGCCACTTCCACATGAGTTCGATTCCCGCCTGCCCCTGGAGGAGACCACATGGCGTGGCAGACCTCTCCTGACCCGCCCGCTGCTCCCCTCAGCAGTGTACTTCGTCGATCTGCCTGTTCTGCACCCCACTCTGTCTCTGGTGAATCCTCTCACCCTCCGCATCTCTGGCCTGTACCCCAGTTCTGTATGAATAAATAAATAAATCTTTAAAAAAAAAAAAAAAACTGAGTAGTGCTGAGATTTAACACCTAGGCCACCAGGGAGGGCTGAAGGGCTGTTTTTCTTTGTAAAGATTTATTTATACATACAGAATTGGGGTACAGGAGGCCAGAGGTGCAGGCCAGGCGGTGAGAGGATTCACCAGAGACAGTGGGTAGCAGAACAGGAAGATTGATGAAGTAAACTGCTGAAGGGAGCAGAGGCCGAGGCAGGAGAGGTCTGCCACACCATGTGGGTCACCTCCCTGGCTGGGTATCAAACTCGTGATGAGGTGGTTGCAGCTGGCTTCCTAGTGCTGTGCTTTAACCTGTTGCACCACCAGGAAGGGCCCAAGGGGCTGTTTTTATTGAAAAGTAACTTTTAATATTTTTGCATTAAGATCACAATGAAAACAGGTACAATAAAGTAATGTTCTGAAAGGCAACTTTACTGTGGAACTGTTTCACAGAATTACACTGAAGTTAAATTACATTTATTCTATCAAATATCCTGCTGAAAACAAAAGCAGTCTAATTGAAGGGACTGCAAGAAAGCCACACCTTCACGCCTAGAAAGTTAGTTATCTAGAAAAAGAATAGTAGAGGGGGATACTACCATATTTCTTTCTCTTGCATTAATTACTAAGTATGGACTGCAATCGGTCCATGCAAATGAGTACAAATCTGGGAATTTCTTTCTCTTACAAATTATCATATTTACTTGTGTTTTTTTAAGTGCTAATGTAAATTTTATAATTTTAGGGGTAATTAATAAAATACTAAACACTTAGATCTTTCCAAGAAACACTGGAAGCTATCACAATTTTATAGCACCATTCTCCTTAGACTCTAGGCTATGTATATGAAAAAGTGGTTACCTTTGAGAATCCATCTTAATATCAGCAAATTTTAGTACTAGCAAACAAATGGCTGACCTAAAAACGCATATACCATAGAAAAACATAAACGTAGACCAAAATGAAACATACTCAACTATCACTGTCTGCTGTTCTCATATTTATCTAACTCTCCAAGTATGAGATCATTTTAATAAGTGATCTAGCGCTCTGATCAGAAGACAAGGAACGTCATTTGAATGATTCACTTAAAATTCTGCTTTAAATACATCACTAGTTAATAGTTAAAAGCACAAAAAAGAGGCCCTCCCTGGCGGCGCAGCGGGTTAAAGCACAGCACTAAGAAACTAAGGCCACTTCCGTATGAGTTCAATTCCTGCCTGCCCCAGAGGTGACCGCATGGCGTGGCAGACCTCTCCTGACCCGCCCGCTGCTCCCCTCAGCAATGTACTTTGTCAATCTCCCTGTTCTGCTCCTTACTCTGTCTATGGTGAAACCTCTTGCCGCCCCTGAGCCTCTGGACTGTACCCCAGTTCTGTATGCACAAATAAATAAATCCTTAAAAAAAAAAAAAAAGCACAAAAAAGAAATCATTTTAATGACATATTTTCAATAAAAGCATGGCCAATATTCCCACCTGTTATAAAATGAGCACTGCATAAGTGGACTCTGTGGACTGGTGGCGATATTTGCTAATTCTGTTAGCCAGTCCACCTCATTTTCACGGTAAGTATTTTCTGATATGTCTGAGGTATTTTGGTTCCAAGATGGTCTTGAATATTCTTGATGTGAAACATCTGAACTTAGCTGGTATATGGCAGATTGGGTAGGATCACTTTGAACAGCCTGAAGTTCGGGAAGGTCATCTGCAAATAAACATACTGAAAATTATAAAAATGCAACTACTAATACATAGAACTGTATTGTAACTACAACTGGAAGAGAAATACTCAAATATAGCTGATTAATTTTGTTAGAGGAAAAGTATAAATTCAGAATGTTTACTTAAATGAGGCAAATTTTCAGCTTTTAAGATGGTGCCTTGTACATTTCAGGGGCAAGAGAGCCTAAAAATATAAACCCAAGGATTGTAAATGTAGCCTGCTGACTTTATACTCCGTTAACCATATAATTACAACTATTCATAGTCTGGACAAAAAACAAAGTTTGTTTTTTTATAGTTCTTCTGGTAGTAATCCACATTACCACTGAGACATTTTTAACATTTAACATGTTAATAAAGGACATGTTACGTGTATATATACATACTATATACTTTAAGCTGTTATGTAATAGTAAAAAGAACAATTTTCTAAGATGAGAATATAAATCATTGTATATTCTTAGGTTCTATTTATTCAACCTAGCTTTGCTAAATTATTTCTTTTTCCTAGGAAACTCTAAGCTAATATGAACTGGTTACTTTTTCCTGCATGTTCAGCAGTTCACAATTTTTCAGCTCCTGAGAGAGACTGGAAATACTAGCCAAATGCCATCTATGTATACACTAAGGCTATAAATGCTGTAAGAAATCTAAAAGATTTAATTTAAAAAAAGAAAAAGGAAGAGAGAAAAAGCACCTTTTTCTTTTAAAAAAATTCTCTATGAAACATACCTACAAATGGTACAGCTCACTGGGTCCCTTCATTATTTTAGTCAAGAAACTTTCTAAACATGGAAGTTCTTAAACCATCACTATGAAGTTATCAGGTAAATATGCCCATAGCCTTATAAAACTACAAAATCTGACTGAAGAGTATTGGTTCAGGATGTCCAGTCACAAACCTGACTGTTTTATAGCAAAGCCCAAGTATCATACCCATTTCGTGTAACTTCACCTGTTATTTTTGTGCTGGTGCAGGCATTTCCCTTTCCTCAGAGCCAACATCTGTCTTTGGTGAGCGCTTCTTTACTATAAAGAGTTGATTTTAACCTTTCAAGTTCAGGGAGTTAACTACCTTAATCTTCAAAGTGGTAACAAAAGGTTTTGACACCCTGGGCCTTGATTTCCTCCCCAAACCTAAATGTGGTAGCAGAGAACCCACTACTTGATCATAGTAATTACTATTTAATGAGTATTAAGGCCCAGCAACTGCTTGGCACTCAGTGTATGTCCAAGACCATCAGGAAATCCAAATTCCCAAATAGTATTCCAGCATATAATCTATCTCACCATTTTAAAATGAGGATAATCACATCTTCTCAGGGTTTTTCTGAACATTAAAGGAAACAGCATATTAAAGATGAACAAAGCCAAGCTGAAAAGCTGGGCAGCAAGCCAAGGTCACTCATTAGCTGTTTACTGTCAACACCTCAAAGCAATGCAATTTCAAGTAATACCTCCACAAACCTACACAATTTTATAGGTCACATATTTTTGGAGTAGCTCATCAGAAGTGATAACCACAAATGTCAGATCCTCAAGTTTCAAGAGTCCATCGGAATACCAATGAACACGTCATGACCACCAAACAATTTACTGAGCTCACTAGATTCTTCAAAAGTAACATCATTTGAAAAGCCACATAAGCAAACTTATCCAAAGGTGCTTAATATTAACAGCCCAATTTTTACCCACAAAGTTAGGCAGTTTAATTTGACAATTTGTAAATTAGTCTCTGTTAATAAGTAGCTTACATTTGATTTGAAGTGATATTTTATAAACAATAGGAGGACACTGAAAACTCCTACTGTACAAAACTTCACAGGCATTTTAGAAAGTCAAGATACGCTGAGAAACTGTCTAAGCATTACACATCTCAATGAGATACCATAGAAGATTTTCATTTTGTTTACCAAGCTCCATGTGCTCATCACAGGAGTTGTATCCAGGTGAGGATGGCAAATTTTCATTACACTGTAGCAACTCCAATGAGTCATTCATTCCTGAAGCTCTCTTGTCCATTACCAGCAGGAGTTTCTGTACTGCATTAGGCATCTGATTTGTCTTCACTTCCCACACCATGTTATGGTGCTCCGACTTAAAAACAATATAAGAAAAAAAAGTCAAGTCATGTGATCTGGAGATTTCTCTAAGTATAAAATAATTCAAAGGCATATACTGTTGAATCTGTAACTTAACCACACATTGCTATCTGTATCTCCTTCAAATCCTTCAGACCAGGATAACTCTGTTATTCTGTCCTACAATGTCATCAACACTAAATTATGCCCAAATCTCAAAGGATTAATATTCATTTTAATAATCATTTATAAAAATATTTTCTTCTAAGCATTAATAGCATAGTAGTACATACTTTTACTGCTTTATCTAGTTAATTCTCCTCTCAGATCCAAATACTGAGGTGAAAAGAAACCATTTCTTACACTTGTATTTTAAATTTTAAAAAAACTAGGTTTCCTCAAATTTTTAAAAAAGACTAAAGAAACTTTTTTCTTTTACAGATTCGAATTTCACTATTCACCAACTGTTCATTCTTTTTCATCTTCTGGAAGGAGCAAGTTTAACCACTTATTTTCTCTTTAAGAAACATACGAGTTTCTTAAAATGGCCATCTATTCCGTATCTCATAAAAAAAGTTGCTATGTATATATAAATATTTTAATAGAGGTAACATGAATTTACAACACTAATGAAGATGGAGGTACAGGACACACCCTTCAGGTATATGTTATCACACCACACCCACCACAAAAGCAGCCAGAGTCGGCCCCACAGTCCACTTTACTTTTCCTCTCCCCCTCAATCTCAATTCTGCAGTCAGATTTCTAGTGTTTTGTTAATGGTTTGGTTTTGTCTGACCCTTTGATCTTTCCTTAATAAGAATTTGGGAGCTAGCCATAAAAAAAAAGATACCTGCTCTTCTCAAAGGATATTTTTTCCAGAAAGATCAACAATAATCATGGGAATTTGGTTATTTACTAAACAAATAATAAACCTACCCTTACATCTCAAGCATACAGGTTTATCACAACAAAGGAAAAAACATGTTAACATGCCAAGTAATTTCTCAGCAAAGTCTACCAGCTAAATTTTGTTAAATATTCTGCCTTTGTACAATGATTAAATTTATTATTTACCATGAGTGACAAAAGCAGGAAGATTTCCTGATTTCTCAGGCTCCACACCACATTATCAGCCTTAAAAAAGCTCTGCTCTAATGTAAATTACACAAGAGATTCTAACACAACATTCAGTGTATCCTCAAAATAAAATAAAATGTGTTGCTCTTAAAAGTCAAGTATCCCAGTACAGGATTACCAAAAATTCAAAGAAAAGATGTTAACTGTGTAGTTTCTAAGTCATTATGTAATCCCCAACATACTGGCAACACTAACAAATTTTCTCCTTTTTCATGATCATCTTATACAATGTTTTGACTATAAACTATACATTGTAGTAAATTTAATCCCACCAACCAAATTTAGACACTAGTAACATTTTGGTGTATTAAGTTACAATCCAGTCTCCTTTTCATATTCAGATACCAACAATTACATACTTTCCTTCATAGCTTATACATAATTAATAACTTTTTCCTTAATTTTTTCAAAGACATATTTAAAGTTAGATAACATTGTATCATAAGGATATAACAAAGTTCACCTAACTCTCTTACTGAACATGTTCCTATTTTTTTTCCACTTACTTGATATGATAAAATGTATATTTTCATTTTTTAAAAGAATTATTTGCTTACACCTGATTATATCTTTGTAGATTCCTAGTGACAGATTAGTAGATAACTGACAAACATTTTCTTAAGGCCCTTGACACAGCAAAACTGTGTATTGCCTTACTTATTTCTAATATTCTACTGCAAATACTTTCTTCCTGCATCCTTTGAAAATTACCCCTATCCTGGACAATGCTTCAGGAGCCTTACTCAGTACTGACCGTAAGATGTGCCATGGGGTAGTGAAAAGGGCACTGGGTTAGGTGCAAGAAAACATGGGTTGATTCCAGCTTGCTCTCTTATAAATACATGACCTAAGTGACTGAGCTTCTTTACTAAATCAATGTTATCTGTGAAACAGGTGTAATGATGCTTGCCCTTTCACCCTGAAGTATTTGAGAATGAGCTAAAATGCAGTGAGTGAAAGAACTATAAAATGCCCTTTCTTATATTTTTTTTTAACCTCTAGAGTGGCATCAGGCAATATCTTGGGTACTTAAGAATAGTTAATAGGAAAAAAATGTACAAAATGATGTAAAAATAAACTGTTCTATATATATAAAAAAAAGAGTAGTTAATAGGAAACCATACAGCTATTCAGCCTGGGTATCTCCTCCTTGGGAAACATTAAAATTTACCTAACATATCTCAGTAAAAGTCACATACCGTGCTATTACTTTAGGCTAATAACAGCTTAAGTGATGTCTGAGGCATTTCCAAGAAACTACCACTTTTCCAGTCTAGTAAAATCTATCACTTACTGATTGATCAGTCTTACATGTATGCTACAGTTACAACAAATTTGCTGAAACATAACAAGTGATTTCTTACAAAGTTGTTGACCACAAGAAATATTGTCTGAAATATTGCTTGACCAAATCTTGATTCTGAGCCTCTACCCTCTCACTGCAAAATCAAGCAATTTTGTTTGTCCAGTGATTCTCAACCACTGTGGGTATCCAAACCCCACCTCCAGACAATCTGACTTACGTGGTGTGGGGTACCCTAGGTGTAAAGTGAGAACCAGTGAGCTAAAAATGATTGCAAAATTCCTCTTATTAAAAATATACCCACTTACTTAATGCATACATTCAAGACACTACACTAATTGCAAAGCTAGACCTCAAAGATGTGAACAATTTACCAGGAATCTCAAGGAACCTACACTTTGTGGAGAGACACAGTAAGTGACTGTGACTATAGAAATCACTAAAGAAGGAAGAACAATCTCAGTGAGAGCTCAGAACTCAAGAGTTGACAAGTTATGACCACAGTTTGACCAGAAAGGATACCTACAAGGTAATATAGCCTTGTGTGTCTTGTGGTCTTGGGTTTTGTGGTGATGGGTGGTAAGTTTGGAAAGGATCAGAATCTACTTCAGGATAACTGGTTTCTTTCTTTGTAGATAAGGACTACTAAAAATAGGCTACCTAAGTTTACATATCAAAGTTGCTACTTACTACTAGCTATGTGCCATGGACAACTTTTTTAAAATCTTATGCCTTGTTCGTGAAATGAAAATAATAATAATTTAAAAAAAAAAACCATGTAGGTTGTAAAAACTCAGCAAGTAAATGTGAAAAGCCTACAATGCCTAACAGAGCGAATAGCAAATCCGCAATGCAAACTTCTTAGTAACATCACTAGCAACTATCAGGAAATGGAAACCCCTACAGAATTGTCAGTAAATTTTTTTTAACTAAGTCTGACATGCTCAGAATTATACTTTAAACATTCTCTGTATCTACACAAAAATTCCACTGAAATACTATGTAACTGAGCAGGAACAACAGTAGCAAATATCTAAAAGAGAGTGAATTAGAGTATATTCACCTTCCCAATTTCTGTGTAAGCCACCTGCCCTAAGTTTCCTTTGCAAGAGTTCTCATAAAAGGTAACTGGTAGTGTCGGTGCAGATTCTTTATTCAGAACCTCCTAAGACACAAGAGGAACCAGTCAATCTATGTGAGTTCTTTGAGGAGCTAATATTCACAATTTACATAGCAGATTTTAACTCTAGTATATAAATTGTTGATACCTTAAATATATACAAAATAATGTAATCTTAATGACACAAACTTTTTATGACTGTATTATGCTTCATGCAGATAATACTCCCCCCTCCCCACCCCACCCCCCCTTTGAGACTCAGAGGATGCACTATACATACATACCTCCCCAGAGCTATCCTTAAAACAGAATTGCTTTGGGAGAGGGGGTCTCTTAGAAGCAGTTAGTTTTGTCTTCCCTCTCCTGCAGAGCTCTTTGGTTTTCTCTCTTCCCAACTACATTTTCCCCTCTATCAGCAGGCCCTACCATTCCACAACTTACCTTACACTAACATCTACTTTCAACTTCTATTATTTCTCCAGCACCTTGTCTTGGCTAACAGGCAACACCCCATCACAATATCTCTTAAATGAAGCTGGAAAACACAGCTACCTACAAATAACAAAAGGAACCAAATAAATATGGTGAACTTGAGTTCTATGTGTTTATACTTCTCAATGCTATAAGCTATCAAAAGTCTGACTCTGAGATAATGTAGATGATGCTACTGCAAACCCACTAAATGGCAAAAGGAAGCCTAGCTTTAGCATGAGTTTCACTCTTGCTGGCCTTGTAACCTGGGGCTGGTCCCTAAATCTCTGCTTCACAGTACCTCTACTCCTCTCACAGGGCTACTGTGAGAATTAAAAGTGTGAAAGCAAAAGTTAGCCCATATATAAGTGTTTTCTATACCTCATTTTTCTCTGTCAAACTTTTTGGAGGAAGTAAGGCCTCTGATACGTAAAGAAGTACCAAGAGTCTTTACTCAAAAACACTCCACCATGTGCAGTACAGCAATCAACATTCACTTTGATAAACAAGTTCCTCTTTCAAATACTCCTGGTATTGCTAACCCTATTGTTCATTCATGCTTTTGTATACTCCACGAATTACAGGATTCAATATCGTTCTGTACATGTCATCTCTTCCCTGGATCATTGATTCTCAGAAAGAAGAGTAAAATTCTCTAGCAGTTGTATTTTGAAATGCCATGTTCAAGATGACAGATTTGGGCTGGAATGAAAAGGCCTTAACACTTCTGTCTTGCAGACTTTGAGAAGTCACAAAATCTTAGATGAAGAAAGAACTAGAAATACGTGTATCAGTCACTGAAAAAGAAGGAAATTAGGTTTATTAATAAATGACTAACTACTGTGTTCATGCATTTTCATATACTTCATTTAATTTTATATAAACTTCAAAACAGTTTTGAGAACAAAGAAATTATTATAGATGAGGAAAACAGAGCTTGGATGACTTACTGGTGCAGTTTTGGTTTTGGAAAGAACCAAGGAAAAAACCAAAAACTATTGACTGACATAGGTTAAACTCCTACTTTCCCCCAGATCCTTACCTTTCAGTCTCATAAGGATTTCACTACAAGACTCATCTGTCCCCAGATCCTAAACGACTTCTATTAAGCTCAAACTGGAGGAAAAGAGTTGGCAAGAAGGTAGTCTGTATTAAGTTTATAGCTCGGCTATAAGGTATTGAGATATTTTAAATGATTACATGATTGTAAGCTAAAATGTAACCTTCTGCAATAAAAGCGGTTGGGAGTCCTAAAAGTTCTTTCATATCTTCAATGAAGATTTGTTTAAAAAACAAAAATAAAAACCTTCAGAGAAATGTTTCAACAAAGCTACCTTGTTAAGGGATCAACAAAACCCCCATACTCTCCCCCCACAGTAAGTGGTATTCTTTTGGTAGACTATCCTACTGTAAAAACAACACTATCACCTATTTGAACAATTCAACCTTTGTGCCTTCTTAATTGTAAATGAGACCAATATCTATTTACTTATAATTATTGTAGGTATAAAAGATACTACATGTTTACCTAGTTCCAAAGCACTGCCATGGTATCAGTCACACCTGCATAGACCTTGCCTTTGAAAAGTGCCAAATCACACCTATACAAGTTCTTATGAACTTCATACTGATGCAACAGGAAAAGCTGATATTGATGAAGATAATGAAAACCCCTCCCCCAATAAACACCAAGCTATTCACAAAATTGTCTTTAAAAGCACTCTCCATTATAATAGGCTTACGATGTTTTTGTGTGAAAAACCTTGAACTCACCCAAAAATTCACATGGCAAAGACCTGTTTTCCTAAATCTGATTATAATAGTAAAATATTTCACAATTCCTATCACAAATTGTGGAAAAAGCAAGTTAAATAATAACTTTTAAAAAATTTAATCAGCTATGTTAAAGAAAATCATTTTGTACAAAAAATGATAGCATAAATTTTGATAGGAAATAACAAAAGAAAATGGGTATCAAAAAATGAAAGAATACAAACATTATTGATGTCAGGCAGTTAATAAGAATATTTTCCCTGAATTTTGTGATATGTAAGATTTGTCAGGTTTATAATATTTTAATTGCTGTGGTTTACATCTCATCCTAAGTAAATATCCACTTTCATATGTAAAAGATAGTATGTGTAGTAAGTAGATCTGCTACTGTCTCATTAACAGGATAGTAACTTCGTATAACTTATGACTGAAAAAGCCACCTGGTATTTTCATTTGAAAGAGTTCAGCTTGCCATTCTGCAAGACCTTCAATGCCTCCCAGTTAATTCCTTTAGCTTAGGTCATTTCCCTTCTTCATTGAGCATTTGAATAGGAAAGAAAAGGTTCAAAGACATTAAAATAAAGTGTATTAAAGTGATAGTACTGTGTTTGAAGTCTGGGAAATTGGCTCTCGGCTGCATGGATGACTGGGGAGCCTAGTGTGTAGGGGAATCGTGGGAGAAGGTAACCTGTAACTTGTATACAGTAGAAATCTGAGAAACAAAAGGGAAGGATTTTTCCAGGCAGAAAGAAAAGATACCAAGGCTCGTGAATGAACCTAAACTAGGATAAAATGAAATTTCATTCTATAATGTATTAGAAAAAAATGCCACCATTTTATTGTATTTAAATGGTTCTTGAGGATATAGTTGATACATTAACTTTAGTTTCAATTCTTTTGAATACAATTCCAGGTTATTTAAAACTATCAAAATATTGCCTTCTGAGCAAGAACACAGTTTAATAGAGCAAAAATGAAAAGATGAAGATTTTATGTTTTTAACTGAGGTACAACTGACATTAAGATTCAGGTATGCAGCCTGATTCAATATTTGAATATATTGTGAGATGATCGCAATAAGCCTAGTTAATATCCTTCACTTCACACAGCATTTTTGGGGAAGGTCAAAAACACTCCTGACAGTTTACAAATATGAAACATAGTACTACTAACTATAGTTACCATGCTGTGCATTACATTCCATGACTTACTTTGTAACTGGATATTTGTACTTTTTGATTCCCTTCACTTACTTTTTTGCTGCCCTCTCACCCCCACCCCCAGGACAAAAGTACTAGGAATGTATTGACCATCATCAATAAACTGAGAAGTATGTATAAAAGTTAAAATTATTCCAATTCCCAAATGGTCATTTATTTCGAAATCACCGTCAGGAGTCATCTGTTACTGCTAGTCAGATGGAAATAAACCTACAACATCTCGGAATTGTTGGTAGGACTCCAACACTACCTAGAATCGACAAGCCCCTTTCCGTTCCTCCACTCTCAGCACCAAGGGCACCGGAGTAAAAGAATCTCTTTTCAGTACTACACTGTCAGTGCTCTTTTTAAAAACAAAAACAAACAAACAAACAAAAAAAACCATTGTAGAAAACTTCCTAAGAATTAACTTCAGTGTGGAAAGCGGAGGCTAGTGAAATCCCCTAGACAGCAGGCAGTGTTTAAAGTGGCCACAAAAACCGGACCCGGGCAGTCGGTCTCGCCTGGATTCTTTTTGTTTTGTTTTAATCTGCCTGGGGCAGCAGCCTAGGTTGGAAAGGCGGAGACTGGAGTCGCCTGCCAAGCCTCGGCTCCCGGTCACACAGAGGCAGCGCCGCCCGGTTCACGCCAAGTCCATCCCCCACTCTCTTTCGCCATTCATCGCGCTCTCCACCCCTCCCCCCATCATGTGACCGCAGCCTGGACTCCGGGCTTGTTTTTCCCCCTCGGCGCAGCCCCAGCGCGCAGGCGCCTCGGAGCCCATTCATTCGAACTGCGTAACAATGAGCCCCGGGGCCCAGCGGCTTCCCGAGCGTCCCAGCTCAGCCCGTCTCTCTCCCGGCTCCTGAGGAGGCGATGCCTTACTGGGGTCCTCTGAGGCTGGCTGAACCCCCACCCCGGGCCACCCTCCGGCCCTCCGCCCACTCGCGGGGAGTTGAAGTCAAACTTTTCTGGGCAGCCCCGGAACCGCGTCGGCCCCCTCTCCCCAGGCCGGCCCCAACTCCGCACCCGGCCCGGCCACCCACCTAGCTACCAGCCCCAAATGCAGTCCCGGCCCAGTCTCCTCCCACCCCCGCCCCCGAAATCCCCCTCGCGCGCTGCCGCCGCCTGGAAGCCCAGGTGAGCTCGCGAGAAGCACGGGTCCGATGGGCTCGCCGCGGGCAGTCATCGGACGGTTAACAACCCCCATCCTGAAGGCAGTCCTTCGAAGAAGAGGAGAGAGGATCCGAGCCTGCTCCGCCGTCCAATTCCCCTTGGGATCCTGCCCCTCCCTTCCCCACCCCCACCCCTTCCCGAACTGAAAGACAACAAACCCGCCGCGGAGTGCGGGCAGCCCCTACGCAGGGTACCCAGGTCGCGACAACACCACCAGCAGCTCGCATACCCCCTGTCCGACCGACGCTGGCCTCCCGGGTGCGCGTTACCGCTCCAGCCACCGCTCTTAATCCTCAACCGAAACTTTCCTACTTACCAAACCCGTCGCCATTACCAAGTCTTTCAAGCTTCGTCTTCCCCCTCCCCTCAACCCCACGGGGGTTGAGCCTCCTCCCAGCTCTTGCACCCTCTAATTGGTCTGTGGAACTGTCATTCGATTCTTCCACTTTTTCATTGGGTGGTACCGTGGTCCGCCTGGAGGGGCGGGCTTGTATTGACTTTTGTGCTGTGTTTACTGGAGAAGAAGGGATGTCAATCACTAGAGTGAGCCCTTCGGATTGGATTGTTGCCGAGACGCCGAGGCCCCCAGCCAAACTTTGTCCCCGAAGTGGATTGTGGGCTCGTAGTCTTAGCCTGGCTCCCTTCCTCTGAAAAACTGCGAGCTGAAGGAACCGGTTGGACTACAAGACCCAGAGGTGAGTGCAAGGTGCAGTCTTGATAGTAAACAAGAGTCATAGGGACACGTGTATCAGCTCGTTTGTTTTGGTGTCTGGAACAAAAGGGAGGGGGGCGGAGGGAGCGAGTATTTTAAAGCTTTGGCCTCGTCGCTTCCTCTGGGCCTCTCCTAGCACTCAGAGCAGCTTCAGCTTCTCGCAGTCCTCCTTCCCAACCATAAATGCCAGAGTTGTTCGCTTCTCAGAGTTTGGCAGTAAGCCAAGGTATTGTTTTAGAGCGAGGGGAAGGAGATGACTGCACAAGCGGAAGCAGTCAGCCTGAGGAAGGACCCAGTCACCCACAAATCACAGTCCTAGGTTTAAGGGGGATAATAAAGGTGGTCTAGGCGCCGGTGGGAAGAACTAGAATTCCTTTATCCAGACCTTTGCTTGGCCAGCCCCAGGACAAGCACTTTAGATTCTTTGCCAACTCTAGTCAAGATTCCATGAATGTTGCCATGCCAGGAACTGCGAGACTTGGGGATGGACAGTGGAAAAGAAACTCAGGGTCTAGAAAATTTACAAAGATCGGAGGAGGTTGGGGGATTATTGCCAATTTGAAATTGTCAAAGCGATGTTTTCCTTAGTGATCACCTGGTTTGTAGATTAAAATAATAAATATGTATGATTAAATAAGTATGGTCTAAACTGAATTTGAGGATCATTTTAAAATTTGGTGAGTTTTGTTAACCATCTGTTCCCACCAGACTTCTTGAAAGAATGTTTTTCCATTTCATTTCCACTAGGAGTTCCTCCTTAAATTACTAAAGCTGTGACTCAGAGAAGGCCCTAGGCTTCTGGGCTTTATAGTTACCTTCACTTTAAACATGGTGTCTATCACAGTCCACCTAGTCTATAATTGATGTTTTTACCATTCACATTACAAAGGCATTATTATGCTTTTTTCCTTTGAACCTTTAGTGTTTAATCATTTAA